AGACATACATACAGACCCTTACACACATACATACATACATACACACATGCATACATACAAACACACATACACACATACAGACACACACAAATACAGACACACACAAATACAAACACACGCACACACACACGCACACACACACGTACATACACACATACACACGTACATACAGACATACAAACATACATGCATACACAAACACACAGACACACAGACACACAAACACACAAACACACAAACACATACATACATACACACATACATACATACACACATACAGACATACAAACACACATATACACAAATACACACATACAAAAACACTTGCAGACATACATACATACGCACACACATACAAACATACAGACACACATACACAAATATAGACACACACACACACACGTATACACACACACACACGTATACACACACACACACATGCATACAAACATATACATACATACAAACAAACAGACATATAAATTCACACGCATACACAATGACATAGATACAGACACACATACATACACATAAACATACATACAAACACACATACATACATACAGACACACATACATGTAGATACATACATACATACATATACATCTACATACATAATTATCTAAATACATACATATACATATACATATACATATACATATAAATATACATACATACTATCATCATAATTCATAAATATATGAAAGGAATATATAGTAACATCATAACATGATAAAATTATCAAAGTTGAGAATGATAGTCTACTTTAGTGACTTAAGAATAGTATTCATTATTGAGTTTTATATGTAACCTGAAATTATGAAGAAGCAGATGACAACTCTCTCTGGCGTCACTTTTGGCCCGTGCTTTATTCTTTGATCATTATTATCATCTATTTTTTTAGCTCATTCATTTGTTCCACCACAAATTCTCTTGTGCACTCAGTGTTTACAAAATCTTTCAAACTTGTGCTTCTTATTCATGTAAAGTTCTTCTAATTTGTGGCACAATCCACACTCTGCATTTTAAAGGAGGTTGAATTCTTTATTATCAGTGATCTTACGCCACCGAGGAAAGGGCTTATTAGAAGAGAATAATTATGAAACTAGAAATGGAAGTAGGCAAAGAGGAAAATTTTCTTACGTATGAATATGAAACAGGAAAAATTTAGTTCAAGTCCTCAAGAATAAGAAAGAGAATATCCTCTTCTCCTATTAATTTGGGCTGACCCTAGAGGTGGTTACATAAGACAATGATGTAACCAGAAGTGTTGTGCATTATGTGGTATAACTATGTGACTATGGGGTGAGTCAATTTAGTTGCCCTTGACTTATTGAGTTAGCTCATCAAACTAATTTGTTAAACTTGCTAGGTGAACTGTTTAGTCGAACATGTCGGCTATGTTGATGCTTGTAGTATTGTCTTCTTTATTTAGTGCAAGTTAGATGAGCGAGTTTGCTGAGTTGTACTGCCAAATTTGTCAAATTCAACCGCCGCCTTGTGCTTCCTCCAAATATGCTTGAAATATTTTCTTCTTGTCACGTGCTTGACAATGGCCAATACATTGATAAAAATACCACCATTTTATATTTTAAAAAGTGAAATACACCTTTTGTATGCATAGCTACATTGACATATACAAAAAAAATAAAGTTTTGTTGCTAGATATGTAAATACATATAGATTGTGTGATTTGCATGTAAATCTTCTGAAAAAATATTTAAAGAATTAGTACGCCTTGGTGATTTTTTATTTATATTATTTCTTAGTAGCATAAGTTTATTTTTGATCGAAAAAGCCTTTACTTTCTTTTGACCTGGCTTTGACACATCCCGCTCTCTTTCTCATTTTGTTGTCGGGTTGGTCCAACCTTAGTTTCCTTAAACTTATAATTTTATTTGAAAGAACCCTTTGTTTATAAATTTGTAATTATTTATAGGATCATAACTATCTTTTTGGGTGGACAAAATCATCAAATACTTAAATTTTTTTATTTAATGAGCAAAAAATAAAAAATAAAAAAAATATCGAGAAGGGGTAAAATTAATAAATTACCTAAACTACATTAAAAAAAAAAAAATTACTTTTTATACAGAGAAATATTAAATTTCAAGATAGGCAATTGCCCATCCTAAATATAACTTGAGTAGTTGGGGAGATCCTAGACTTAGGGTCCGTTTGGGGCAGCTTGTGCGTTTCAATAAGCGGTTTCCCCTAAACCGCGGCCCGCGGGTCGGCCGCAGGGGTCGACCCACGGCTTGCGTTTAGTGTAAAAAACCAAACGCAATTTCCGATAAGCTGGCGAAAAGAGCGAATCAAACGGTACGGCGGCGTTTTCAAAACGCCGCCCACACTTATAAGCTGCCCCAAACGGAACTTTAACCTCTTCCGCCCCTACTTATAGCGTAATAACTTCAATCATGCCTTGACAAAGCCATGTCCAAACCTGTTCTAGGCCTTGATGACTTATAATTAGATATTTGAGCATGCGTTAGTTGATTTTATTGATGAATTTGATTTATGCAAAAATATTTTAAAAAAAAATTATCTTTATATGATACAAATACATATTTAGAGACTGAAATCCGATTCACTACTTTGAAAAATTTCTCAAAATTATTTTGACAAAACCTGATGATATTTAATTTACAAAAACATTAATTAATGTTCACTTTGAAAATCAGTCTTTTTAAAATAATGTTGGGCAACCCTACTTTGAAAATCAGTCTTTTTAAAATAATGTTGGGCATTGTGCAACGATAATATCATCTTTCTTGAGAAGAAAAACACGATGTTGTTACACATACCTTGATAATGATGGCAATTGACAAGTTCATATAATATTCATAGAAGTGTTTGAGATGAATTAGGAAGATTTATATACATTTCACTTAATTCATTTGTATTTGCTTATCTAACAATTGATACTTTAGTTTTTACATACTGTATGTTAAAAAGTGCTCTGTTGACCTTGAAGAGATTCAATGGCCACCTCAGCTGACCATCAATCAGCTACCTCAACCAACCTCACTTAGTCAGCTACCTTAGCCAGGCGCCCATCTATGCTAGTCGACCACCTTCACCAGTCTGCCACCCTCAGCCAGTTGACCTCCTCAGCCAGTCGACCACCCTCAGCCAGATTCGACCACCTTCACCAGTCTGCCACCCTCAGCCAGTCGACCACCCTCAGCCAGCCGTCCAGCTCCGACACTCAACTTTGCTGACTGATGAGCTCTCGAGCGATAGATTCCCATGACCATCAATCGACCACCTCAACCAGCCAGTCACCTCAGCCAACCGTCCACCTCAACCAATCGATCGCCCTCTTTCAGCCACCCACCTCAGTCAGCTGGCCTCCCTCAGCTAGCCAACCGCCCTCAGCCAGCCTTCCATCCTAAGCCAGCTGGCCACTCCCACACCCAGCTTCACCAATCGATGAGCTCCCGAGCGATATATTTCCATTACCAAAAAGACCGGAATGTCCTGTACCAGCTCTTTTAAGCAAGTATAACATTGTAATTTTATCTTTTATCCTTCTATCATCTATAAATAAATGGACGTCTTTATGTATTAGGGATCATTTTTTTCCTTCTAAATGTACTCTCTCATTTGATGAAATAAAAGTGATCAAATAGCCCGAGAATATCCCGTTTTGGCCCTTAGGGCCAAGTCCATGTGGACACACACTCTCCTCTCTCTCATACTCTCTTTGTTTCTCCCTCATGATTCCCAAAGCTCTATCCATTGGGTGTGATTTATTGGAAAAATCAAGATTCAACATCCCAAAAGGTGTAATGAGCGTGAATCATGCAACCAATAGAAAGAGGAGCACACCAAGGAGGAAACAATCCTATACAGAGTCATTCCAAATATGAGATGCACAAAGAAATTTTCCCTCAACGCTCAAAGCATCTCAAAATTCGTCTCTAAACTCAACACGGAAAGAGCACTGGAGGCGGTTCTATGCTCAACAGCGACAAGCTCTACAAAAGATAAGACACAAATCACCCATATAGCGAGTCTCAACTGTTACCTCTGCGAAGGTAGCGACAAGATTCACTTAAGACCTGATAAAAGTTGCGGCCCGACTGAGGCAACAATCCTATCAAGAAAACAAGACAGGTGAGGAGTAAGACTTGAGTTAGACGATACTTTATAAAAATACCAACCAATGTTCTTCCTGGGGACTGGGTTGCTAATCAACATAGAGCAAAAGTTGACCCAAAAGTCTCAGGATGCCGCTTCATAGCTAACAAAAATAGGGCGCAAAAGACTACTAAAAACTAAGGGAGTATAATTGGCACATTATTGTGACTGCATTTTTTGTATATATCACAATTTCGCCTACAAGATGTAAGAGACTTGGAAACTTTATGTATGTTAAAAATGTGTTATGCTGATCATAAAGAGATTCGATGACCACCCTAGCCAGCCGACCACCCTCAGCCAGCTGTCAGGGCCAAGTCCATGTGCACACACTCTCTCTCCTCTCTTCCCCACTTTCTTTGTTTCTGTCTCCTGGTTCACAATGCTATATCCTTGGGTGTGATTCACAGAACAAATCTGAATTCAACACGTATAATCTTACCAATGCATCAAAAGATTAATTTCACTTTTTAAAAAAAATTAAAATGATGATATCATTAATGTGATATTAAAGACTTTAGTGGTGTACATGTTAAAAAAAATTAGATGTTACAGATGTAAATATACATAAATTGGGTGGTATTTATGATATAATTATGATATTAAAATGTGAAATGTATAAATGCATAATTTGTGTAATGCACATATATTATTTTAGGACGATTTACCCACATGTCACTCAATTCTCGTGTATTTACTTATATAGCATATAAATTTTAATTTTTACATGTAATCTTCTCTCTGCACAAAAATATGTTTTTCACCACTATGTCTGTTTTGATATGAAAGATTTCGGCGGTGTAAATGTAAAAATTTAAATTTAGTTGTTAGATATGTAAATATATAACGAATGGGGGGTATGAATATAAAATCCCTTATTTTATATGTAAAGCTAATGCAAAAGAGCGACACACACGGCTTGCTCCCCATCTGAGCGCGAAACTGCAAGTTGGTCGATACATGTCGCAAGTCGCCCTCCGTCAGCTGGTCTTCTCTGACACATTCCCTCCCTTTCTCTACTCTCTCCGTTCCTTCGCCACCAGCTACACCGCCCGCGTGGTCCGCGCAGACTCCTCCGGCCGTCAAATCATAGTCGAACTCGACCCCTCTAACCTCTCCTTAGACTCTCATGGCTACCCCATTCCCCGTCGAGACCTCATCTGCCACATCTGCAACCTTCTCCGTACCGCTCCCTCGCCCTCCACCGATCCCCTTCTCGACGTCGCCGACTATCTCCAAACCTTAACCTTAACCCTAAACCCCTCCGAAGTCAGCGAGATTCTCAAATCCCTCCGGCCCCTTCGAAAGGCCCTCGAGTTCTTCCGCTTCGTTAAGACGCTCCCTGAATTCCGCCTTGACTGTTTCGCCTACAACCGTATCCTTGCCATTCTCGCCCGTTCGAGTGCTGAACAAGATATAATTGGTGGGATTGTGGATGAAATGGTGAAGGAGGGGGTTAAGGGGAATATATCGACGGTGAATATCTTGATCGGGGCTATGGGGGGAACGGAATATGATAGGTGTTTGGAACTTGCCAAGCAGTGGGATTTGAGGTTCAATGGATACACATATAAGTGTTTGATGCAAGCTTATTTGAGGCATCGGGATGTGGAGCGGGCTTTTTCCTGAAAGTATCTTTTGTTTTATTGAATTTTTTTATCGGTTTGTCACAAAGCTTTTGAGACTGCTGGTCTACTAAGATCAATACTATTATGGGCCACCAACACCTAAACATTCATATATATATCCATACCGCTCAATTATGTGCTCACTGGCGGGCTCTTTTGTTGGCAGCTTAATTTTATATGGGATTCAAACAGCAAATGCTAGCAGATTTTTTCCTGAAAGTATCTTTTGTTTTATTGAATTTTTTTATCGGTTTGTCACAAAGCTTTTGAGACTGCTGGTCTACTAAGATCAATACTATTATGGGCCACTAACACCTAAACATTCATATTTATATGCATACCGCTCAATTATGTGCGCACTGGCGGGCTCTTTTGTTGGCAGAGTAAGTCTCCTGGGGTCCTAGATTCGATGCTCGCCTCGTCTGAAACGCACAAGCTGCCCCAAACGGACCTTAAGTCTCATGGGGTCCTAGATTCGATGCTCACCTCAAATAAAGCACATAGCATTAACTGGGGTGGATTGCAAGTATATCTTGCGGTCCATCTTTAAAAAATATATGCATACCACTCAATTTTTTAACATCACGTCCAAAATACTGTCATCATTATCTTTTTAAAAGTGAAATACAAGGCATTATAAGTGTAAATATCAAACTTTAAGTGTTTGATATATAAATACAAAAGAATTGTGTGTAATGTATGTAAATTCTCCTAATATTATCAGTGTGCCATCATAATCTATCAACCCTTATGTTGATGCCAGCTTGGTGAACAATCAGTTCGATTTGTTAAAGAACAGCCATGAAGTTATCCTTGATAATGAATAAGCATCCTCAAATAACATGTTTTGATTTGAATCTGCAAATGTCGAAACTGATTCATGAGTACAGTTATGATGGCTTGGATGGGTAAGCCCGAGCTTCTGGTTAAAATTTGCCAAAGATAAATTGTCATTAATTTAATGAATGGAAGAATCTTTTATTTTATTGGGATTTTTAACAGTTTGCTTTGCTAAACTCTTTAAATTTACTGTTATACCACTCAGATATCTAATAGTAGCATACTTTTGTAGTTTATTATCTCTTACATAGGTTTAATTTGTTATTGAGGGATTGGAGTTTTAATTTGTGTGTGAATTAGGTGTGGATGTTGGCTGATTCAGGCTGTATCACATAAAAATTATATTTTATGCTCTTTATTTTTCTTTCGCATTTCGTTACTAGTATTAAGATTAGTATGTGTTAAGCTAAAGTGATCAATTATTCTAATTTTGTTGCCCATCCCTTAAATTAATTGTAATTACCAAAACAGTTTCTGATAGCATTGATTGGGTTGAATTTTCAAATTTAATGCATATCTCATAAGCACCATTGAATCACTTGAATAGTTCAGCTTGAGCTTCCAACTAAAACTCTACTCAAATTAAATTATTGATCATGTTTGAGTCAAAAGTTAAAAGTGTCTTAGAGCTTGTGCCGTCATCTGAGGTTAAATTGTGGTCATGAGCGTTAAGTGACTTTTTAGTCAAAATTCATTAAAATTGATGCAATAATGATGCTAAATTCAGGATGGCTTATTTTTAAAATCATATGCTTAGGCTTATGTTCTACTTAAAAATCATGGTTTTAAGTTTCAGTAGTTTTGATGTTGTTAGGCCATTTTTTAGTTGAAATTGATTTGGAACGTTTTAGTATTTTTATTTTCAAGGTTGTCCAAAAGTGAAGAGCTTCAAGAAATTTTTTGATGATACTTGGTAGGTTGACCCGAAGCTTGTTGATTTTTTTAGTGAAAATATTTATCAAAAATCTATTTGATTTTTGTGACCAAGGTCTCATTATATTTCATGTGTTGTAACTAGAACTTTGATTGCACAACCTTCTTTAATGTTTTTAAATTGTTTTTTGTATTAATTTATAATAAAAAAGTATCTGAAACCACCACTGAAACTGAACACCGAAAATGAAGAAGCTATTAGAAGTTTCAAAATAAGATATTTTATATAGGATTGAAAATGAAGCTGAGAATTAAAACTCCTTAAAAAAATATCTACTTTGTATTGGAATTTTTATAGAATGTTTATTTTGTTGGCTTGTTGTTGTATCCTTATCTCATTATTTTTTCTCCTTGCAATAATAAACTTGTATGCTATGGTTGGTAGAATTGCATTTTTTTTTCTTTTGATATTTATATTTCTAATTTAGAGAAATAATGCTAGTTCAGAATTGATGTTTTTTGTATTAATTTAACCATTCTCCTACTGCTTACTGAAACTGAATAAGAGGTTTAGCACAATACTTAGTGGGTGGTAGCTATATTTTTCTTCATGAAATAAAGAATGAAATTTCAGGTGGCTTTTTGCTGCTATAGAAATTTATTTTAATTATATTTTTAGTGTTTTCTATATGCATTCAATGATGGTGTTTATCTGGTATTAAACTACTAGAATAAACTTATATATGTCTTCTTTCCCTCGTTGCACATTAAAACTTTTTTTTTTCTTCTTCTGATTTTTCCAAGGCGATTTCAATTAACTGAGCTACCAAGATTCTCACCTCTAAGTTTTACTTGTTTCGTAAATTTTATCTCTTCTATTTCTGACTCGATTGTTTGGCAGGTTGATCTGGGCAATAGAGTTTTTGGAGACATGAAGCAGAAGCACTGCGAACCAGATCATTACACATACACAATTCTCATTAGAATGTATGGTAAAACAGGAAACATAACTAAATGTCTCTCTTTCTTTGATGAGATGGTAGGAAAGGGGCATTCATTAAATCTTATTGCACATAATACCATGCTGGAGGCCCTTGCAAAAAATAGAATTGTTGACAAAGCAATCCTTCTTTTCACAATGATGATCAGAAGGGATTGTCGGCCCAATGAGTTTACTTACAGCATTATTTTGGAAATGTTAGCTGCAGAAGGCCAACTACATCGATTGGACGAAGTTGTTGACGTGTCAACCAAGTACATGAATAAATCAATATATTCTTATTTAGTTAAGGCACTAAGTAAATCAGGTCATGCAAGTGAGGCCCATAGTTTGTTTTGTAGAATGTGGAACTTCCATGATGAAGGAGATAGAGATGCTTTTGTGTCCATGTTGGAAACTCTGTGCAATGCTGGGAAGACAATGGAGGCAATCGATCTGTTGAATAAGATTCATGAAAAAGGAATACCTACAGACACTATGATGTACAATATAGTGTTTTCAGCTCTTAGTAAATTGAAACAATTATCATATATTCAAACTCTGTATGAAAAAATGAGGGATAGTGGGCCTTCCCCTGATATTTTTACGTACAATATTCTTCTTTCAAGTTTTGGCAAAGTTGGCCTGGTTGAGAAGGCTTTGGAACTTTTCGAGGAAATGAAATCCAGTGTTTGCAAACCTGATGTCATCAGTTATAATTCTTTGATCAACTGTCTTGGGAAAAATGGTGATCTTGATGAAGCCCATATTCGGTTCAAGGAAATGCAAAAGAAGGGCTTAAATCCTGATGTTTTTACATACAGCACCTTGATTGAATGTTTTGTAAAAACAAATAAAGTTGAGATGGCTTTTAACTTGTTTGATGAAATGCTAGCTGAGGGATGCCACCCAAACATTGTGACATACAACATCTTGCTTGACCTTTTGGAGCGAAATGGGAAGGTGGTAGAAGCTTTTGAACTTTATGAAACTCTGAAAGAACGGGGGCTATTTCCTGACTCAATAACATACACAATACTCGAGCGATTAAAATGCTCTTCACATAGAACGGTCAGGTTACACAAACAGAGTCGTGTTAGCGGTTGGGTTGTTAAACCTTTTAAATGATTTGTCTAGTATAATGATGATGAAGGTCAACCCATACATCTACAAACCTTGATGCATGTTAACAGAAGTGTGCGATTTTCGTTTGGCTTGTAATTTAGTTAAAATGGCTAGATTTTATGTGCCCAGCAATAAAAGAGGATGGAAAAATAAGTATCAATGCACCCCATGAGTGGAGGTACCCAGTCTCCGGACAGAGGCAACAAATGTTGGTTGGCGGTGATGGACAACTACATGGCTGGCTGGTGGTGCCACCACCGACGGGCAGCCAACAAGGTTGGTGGGCAGAGGTTGTTGGGCAGCTATAAGTGGCAGAAATATCCGTGGGTGGTCCCACCACCGATGGGCAGCCAACAAGGTTGGTGGGCAGAGGTTGTTGGGCAGCTATAAGTGGCAGAAATATCCGTGGCTTGCAGTGTAGTCTAAAATCTGCCAAATCTGATTAGTTTGGAATCCTCCACAAATAAACTATGAGGTGAGTTTTGAATTTCCTGAAAATTTACTTTGTATTCTTGTATGCGCTAGAACTACCGACACGAATCTCAAAGATAACAAACAACCAGAAATAAAAATTCTTCCCCAAGGGTAAACAGTTGATTGACAAGTCTCCGCCAAGTACATGAAACTGCGTCTCTAAACCCAAGATAGGTCAAAGCTCTGGAGAGGGTTACTTACCCGATAGCGACAAGATCCGCCAAGGGTGAGATATAATTCATCATAACAACAAGTTTCATCAAATACCTCACATAGATAGCTACAAGATTCGTCTAAGACCTTGCTAATAAGAGTATCCGGCTGAGATGACGAGCTGACCAGGTAGATGTGATGTAGTTCCTGTAAAACTTAAGTCAAAGCGACAAGTGAGTCGCGGTTCACCTGACAAAACAAATCGACTCATTAGTCGAATGAATGACCGACCGAAGAGCAAACAGAAATCCCCTGATCACGATTGGACTACTGACCTGCTTTTGCTGCGGCGAACGAGATTGTAAACACATCAATTGACCAAATACAAGACATGATCACCAACTAGTCGATTGTCTCCCTCAGCCGCATTCTAGCAAATCGACCAATTACCGCAATATCAAAATCCAAATTGTAATATACATATGAATTGTAAACACATCAATTGACCAAATACAAGACATGTCACCAACTAGTCGATTGCCTCCCTCAGCCGCATTCTAGCAAATTGACCAATTACTGCAATATCAAAATTCAAATTGTAATATACATATGGAATGAGATCCATACAATTTTTGAGAGCATTAATCATATTAAAAACAATTTCCATAATTGTTCCCTCCTTTCTATAATTGTATCAAATACATTTTAATAAATAAGAGACAATGACGACAAAAGCGGGGAAGGATATTTGGACTCCCCTGATTCCTTCCGCAGTAATTCTCGGTTCACTTTATTTTCCATTTCACTTGGCTCTAACTCTTGAGGTGTGTTCATAGAAAATAATCTGAGATCTAACATTCTGAAAGGTGGTGCGATGAGCGTGGACATGCCTAGACGAGAAGCGGAGCTAACTATGAAGGAGAAAATTCCTACAGAGAGATAACACACATGGAGCTCAACAGAGACACTACACAAGCAGATGTCCATGCGCAAATCTAGGGCTTACAAGCCTAAGTGACCCACATGATGGAGCAATTCAAGTTCCTTCGGGTAGCAATCACCTAGAGGAATGACCAAGTGCCTCAACTGGTAGGAACCCCAGGTGGTTCGTCCCCAAAGGCTCACCCAGGAAACTTGTTTATCTCGCACAACTAGGTCAACAACTAGCAGGCAGTGGGACAAGACGAGTCCCAACACATCGATGCAGTCGCTTCTGCATAGCCAAACGGGTGATGGGAAGAACAGATGTGAGTGCCAGTCTGACTGCTCGCAGGAGGGGCCTTTACTCGCCAAATCAAAAAGCTGATACCTCTGCCTAAGCTAAGGATTCTTCGCTTGGATTCTTACAAAGGGAGGACCAACCCGATCGACCACCTCGTGTCGTTCAAATCATCCGTCGGTCTGCTTCAGATTGATGACCCAATAATTTATCAGCTCTTCTTAACCACCATGAAAGAGTCGATCCTTCGGTGGTTCCACGGTTTCCCAACCAAAACAATCCAAGTTACTACGAGTTTAAGAGGCTATTCGTTTCACACTTCTCAAGCGTACAGAAGTTGAGAAAAGAATAGGATATCTTGCTCGACCTCCAGCAGTGAGAAAAAGAGAGCCTACGGGCCTACATCACCTGCTTTCAGAATGAGATGTTGTTAGTTAGAAATCTACAACCAGAAATAGCCGGGACGACCTTGAAACGAGGAGTCCTAAGCAAGCGATTTTGTTATGACCTAAATCTGTTTAAACCAACTACTTTCGCAGAATTAGAAGATGACGAACGAGCACATACTCGCCGAAGATGACCTCGAGAACTCCTCGAAGGGTAATCTAGAATCGTCCAACCACCCGTCAAAGAAGCGGAGAGAACGGGACGAACAACAAAAGGCGAAGGACAATCAGTCCGCCGATCACGAAAAACATCTCTCGGTTTCGAGATCAACAGAGAAACGATTGAGGCAACCATGACCGAAAGCAACGCTTCGATCGCCGGTTGGCTCAATATTATGAGCGACTGCATGTTTACATTAAAATGCGATGTTTGGCGCTCCTCAGCGTGTCGATGGCCGAAATAGTCCAGACCATCCAAAACAAGAATTACTTCAAGTCGGCACCACCACTAAAGGTGTCACCGACCTTACAAGATCCGAAATGGTACTGTCAGTACCACTGTGACCACGGACACTACATAAAGGAGAGTCGTCACCTCGGGAACCTAATCGAGGAACTCATCCGTGTCGGGAAGCTTAAAGAATTTTTAGCAGTCGTTGCACATACAAAACAACAGGGTAAAGCGCCGACAGGGGATCCCTCCAATGGGGTTGATAGGGCGAATGAGGTCCATGTAGCAAGGATAATCCCCACCATATTCGGGGGAGGACCCCGACCCTCCGGTTTAAAGAGACAATGTTCGGGAAAGGTATTCTCCGTCGTCCCGTACACACGTAACCACTTGCCCATTGTTTTTACAGATGCAGATCTCCCACCGAAGGGGAAGCTTTACAATAAGGCGATCGTCGTCACAACGCTGATCAACAACTACTGGGTGGCTAGTATTTTAGTTGATATAAGAAGTTTGGAGAATATCTTGTTCAAATCAGTGTTCGACATGACTGGTTTGAAGGTAGATTGGTTAACAGCACCGACGGTATCGTTTAGATTCTCAGGCGAAAGGAAGGAGGCGCTAGGCCCCGTCGCTACTGCCATCTCTTGGGGAGAGCCAGAAAATAATATAATAGCACAGAGGATTTTCTTGTGGTAGTCATCACTACAATGCTATCTTTAACCGATCACACCTGAACAACTAACAGGCAGTAACTTTCACTTACCATATAACAATAAAGTTCTCACGCGGCGGAGAGGTAATTACGGTCTGAGGAAACTTTGGAGCAGTCTAGAAATTGCTATTTGCGAGCAGTTTTGAGCGTCGACTATGAACCACTCGACATCCAGATCTAGAGGGGGGGTCTCAAGACCAGTGAAGTCGTCCTCCAGGTGTCAATGTTTAACGAAGAACCCGCTAAAGGTTTTATGATCAGTGAATGTTTTGACGTAGGATTCAAGAACTAACTGGTACAGACGCTTCAGAAGCACCGGGAAGTGTTCGCTTGGACTGCAACAAAAATGTCTGGTGTTGCGATCGACACAACGTGCTATCAGCTGAACATCAACCCCTACTCGTAGTTGGTCCAACAGAAGATCTGATTGACCACCAGAGCTTTGGCCGAACTAATAGCGGCGGAAGTACAAAAGCTGTTAGATGTCGGCTACATCATGAAGTCCAGTACCCAACTTGGCTCTCGAATATCGTCATGGTCAAGAAAACGAACGAAAAGTGGCGGATGTGCGTCGAGTTCACCAACCTCAATGCCGCTTGCTCAAAGGACACCTACCTTCTATCGAAGATTAACATATTGGTGGATGTATCGGTCGAATTCTCGGCAATGAGTTTCCTCGACACTTACTCCGAGTATCAACAAATAAAGATGCATCTAGCCTATGCAGGGGAAACGACATTTATTACTTTGCAAGGTATTTTGTTTTAATGTAATGCCCTTCGGGCTTAAGAATGTGGGGCGACCTATCAGCACCTCATTGATGTAATTTTTTCTAATAAAAAAGAAAAGAATGTTGAGGCGTCTTTCAACCAAATCTTAGTTAAAAGTAAGTCAGCTGAACAACACATCGAAGATTTAAAAGAGACATTCAAAACACTCAAAAGATTCAATATGAGATTGAACCTTGCCAAATGCACCTCAGGATGTTGATCTACAAGTTCCTCGTTTTCTTGTTGACTCCTGATGGATTGTAAGCCAATCCCAAGAAAGTACAGATGATCTTAGACATGCCGCCCCCCACGGAGCACCAAGAAAATGCAGAGACCGACCAATCATATTTTTGGGCTCAGTCGTTTCATCCGGAAGTCGGGCGACAAGTGTGCAACGTTTTTTAAAACACTAGGGAAAAATTAGCGTTTCAAATGGACAACTGAATGCGAAGAGACGTTCAAAAACTTGAAGAATTCCTTAACATCCCCACCAATGCTTCAGAGCCCGAAACCAGCGAAAGAGCTGTCACTGCATCTAGGAGTCGGGCGAGAGGCTGTAAGCTTAGTTCTAGTCTAAGAAGGGGCGGGAAAATAGTACTTGTTATACTGCACAAGTCGAGTGCTTCATGGTATTGAAATCAAGTACCCGATTATGAAAAAACAAAACTTTGCTTTGATTATTTCTGCTCGCAGACTGTGATCGTACTTCCAGATGCATCTGATCTGGCTCATCACAGACCATCCCTTCAAATCTGTGCTCACACCACCAAAGCACTCCGGTCGACTGCTGAAGTGGGTAGTAGAACTCAACGAATTCAACATAACTTATATTTCTCAGACGACAGTCAAAGCCTAAGCAATCGCAGACTTTCTGGCTGACTTTTCCACAACAAAGGAGTCAGACAAGAGAATCGTCATTGAAGACAGGACATGGTTTCTATATGTCGATGGAGCCTCAAAACAGAAAACAACAGGACTAGGTTTGGCCCCATCCCGCCCATCCGTAGAGCATCTCTACTAGACAATCTCGGTGGAGTTCGACATCACGAATAATCATGCAGAGTATGAAACACTAATCATTGGGCTCCGCCTGGCCTACGAGATAGGCGCCCGAGAGATCTAGTTCTAAAGAAGGTCGATCCAGCAGCTC